AAAGGGGTTTTGCGTTGATTTAGGACATGATTCTTACTTGGCTTTTGGAATTGGAAAGAAATGAAAACCGAATTCTGAAAATTTAAAGTGGATAGTGAATTTGCAGGGAACGAGTGAACATGAAATTAAATGACAACTTTCATTAATTAAAATATCTAAAGATTATCACAACATGGGTAATCGTGATTCGTGAGAGACTTTACAGCACTTGCGGTGGATATTTATAGCCCACTTACGGTGGATATTTATAGCTTTTATCTTTTTATGTACATAAGAAGTTCGGCGTTAGTATAATATAATTTGGAAATTTTGCTATCATGAGTTTATAATAATAACTTTGATAATATTACGTGCTATATAGTGTAAAGTACAAGAATTTTATGTTTGTTTTTATGTATTTGAGATGATATCATCAAATTTTTCGTATAGAAGTGATAGTTGACATGTTAATTTATTAATTGACTAATGGAAATCTATGAAAGAAGTAAAAAGCTGTCGTATTTCTACCCGACTATAATTTGTTAGGTGTTTTTATTTTTAATCGTGTATAAATTCTCTCTATTATACAAATTTTTATAATTAGCTGTTTTTTATATTGAAGGTGCCAAAATTAAAAAGTAAGTTAAATCCTATCAGAAGTTTTTTTTTTGTTTGCTCAAAATCAGAAGTTCGTTAGTAACCTTAGAATGTGTAAACAACTTTACAATTAGAAAAGTAAGTTTCTATTTAGTATTTTTTTTGTGGTCAAAAGAAAATTTCATTCATTCGTCATAATCAAACATGAGATGAACATATGAAGCCTCCAAGCAAAACGAAGCCCAAAAGAGCTGCAAAACAAAATAAAACCCATAAAAAACAAAAGAGTACAGCTTGCAATAATAAGCGTACTCTCATCCCAAAAAATTAGACCTGTCAGAGTATCAAAAAACAATCAATGGCCAATCATTGAAATCGTCAGTGATGATGGGAACACGTCGAGATCTTCCCCACCAGAAACTACGGTTTGGAGTGCGCACCTAGTTTCGGCGTCCTTGATACTATCGTCATATGGCGACAACAACGACAACATGTCGAACCACTACAGATCAAACATCTCTATAAAACTCCAAAATCTAGATTTAAATCGAGAGAGAAAAGCTACTAGATTTAGATCTACACCTAAATTGGGAGAAGAGTTTTTGCCGAATCTCGGACTAGTCATAAAGCCACGTCCCAGGCACCCTGCCGTCTAAATTGGTGACAACATCCTCATAAAATTTTCAGCTGCAAGTAGATTTATTCACCATGACAAGCGAAAAAAAAAAAGCAACGATAACGAGCGAAAGAAGATGCCAAACGAGTTGAAAAAAAAAACTCCCAAATTAGATGGGAAAGAAAAAAAATAGAAAATCAAAGCCTACAAAAGAAAAGCATGGCAAAGCAGGTTCTCTAAGCTTCAGATATTGAAACTGAGAGCCTGCAGGTGAATATTCCTGGAGGGAGGATTTTTTTGGGAGAGAGAGGATTGCCGAGAGAATAGGGTTTTCAGTTTCTAATTAGTTTCTATTTAGTATACAAAGTGAGTTTTTATTTCTTGTAGCAGACTATTAGGAAATTAATTTCTCTCCTCTTAGTTAATTTTTCCACATTTACGATAACTCTTCAAAGTAAAAAGTAACTTTAAAATAATTATAAATCAGTCAAGAATTTTTAGACGTGGTTATTATTATACAGAATAATTTTTTACCGTGGTTCTTAGTACGATTTTTCCTTTAGAAAAGTAAGTTCAATTTTATCAGCTAGCTGTAACTTTTCCATATTTTTCGTAAATTTTCAAAGGAAAAAATATCACGAAATAACTATTGACTTTTCGTATATTTGCTGTAACTTTTCATATAAAAATATAAATTTCAATATGCATTGCGGAGTGAGTTTTCCACATTCTCGGTAAATTTTCTCAACTATGACAGTAATAAATTATCTCCAATTGTGACTTATAATTTGTTTAACCTTTTTAGTAACCTTAAAAAAACTCTCGGTAATTTTTCTCATAGAAAAATGAATATTTATACATCATATGAAGTGAGTTTTCCATATGTTTTAGTGATTTTCTCTGTACGAAAAAGTTAATGATTAGGATAAGTGGTGTCACTTTACTACTAAAAGTAATTTGTAGTGATTGGTGAAGTTCCATGATGTTTAGTATTTCCCAACTCATCAAGTAATTTTTATAAAATCAACTGACAGTAACTTTGACTGAAAAGTACTAACTTGTTAAGAAACTCACTTCAAAGCAGGCATGAACAGTTCCAGTAGCTTTTCATTTGCTTTGATTCAGCGGTGTTAACATGCTTCACTCTAATAAAACTACAAGAATCAGTAACACAGCCCACATGGGAGCATTGAAAAACCCATGCAATACAGTACCGCCCTTAGCCTGTATCCTAAAACGAATTTCTATATAAGAAAATGACACTAATGATCTCTAAACTTTAATTGAATATATAACGTCATCCCTGAATTTTTAATTTGTTCAATGTGGTCCATGAATTATTTGTAAATGTTTAATATAGTCCTCTCATTTGCTCAAACGATAAATCGGACATTATTTGATGACGTGTGTTATTATTTAATGAGTCATACTTTTAAAAATGATGAGTCAACATGTCCATCTTTTCATCCATCTGTTTTAAAAAAGGAAAATGAAAACTAGAGCGTTAACATGTCGATGATTATCTAATGACGTGAATTATTATATCATAATTTGAGATGAATTGGATAATCTAAGTGTGACTTTCCTTTTTGTTGCCCACCATTTAAATTGAATGGATTTCAAGCCACGTCAACAAATTTCGTTAATTTGAATTAACATAAGGACGATATTAAACATTTTTAGATAGCCTAGGATAAGATTGAACATTTACCAATTGTTTAAAGATCACATTGAACAAATTAAAAGTCTATGGACAACATTACACATTGAATTAAAATTCAATAACTACTTGTGTCATTTTTCCATTCTAAATTGGTGGGGATTTCGCTTTGCCCATCACAACACTTTATGGGGACCACATTGAAATTTAGAAGAGAATGTATTGATGCCATCAAAAGTTCTAAAATATGCCCACTATAACACCAAATATCTGAAGTGACTATGGTAATTTCAAATAAGGGCTTAAAATAGTTATGGCAATTTCAAATAAGGGTCTTACCTCGCCGGCCGGCTAAATATTCCGGTCAGTCAAGGGCATTTTCTTCCAAAGACAATTTTAACCTAAATTTAAGCTAAATTAGATTAAAAATTAAAAAAGCTAAAAAAATTAAAAAGGAAAAAATAAACAGGCTGGGGCCACCCAACCCCGTCGGCCATCACCGATACCCCGCTAGCGGAGGGCCTGGGTTTTTTCTTTTTTCTTGTATGTTTTTTTTATAAGTTTTACCCTTTTTTTTCTTGTTTGATTTTGTCTTTTTTTATGGAAAAATTTTTGGATATTTTAACCTAAATTAAAAAAATCAAGTCCTTCCTCTAACTCCATCTAATTTGACTCAAGAAAAATACTTATGTGATTTTTTTCAATTTTCTATTTCTATTATGTGGCGTCTTATGTGGTGTTAAGGTTAACTAAAGCACCGAAAATCAAATCCTGGATGAGAGCCTGCAAGCTCTCATTGGCCATTGGCAAGGGTCGCCTCGCCTAGGTCCTCACTGGCCACGGGCGAGGCGACCCTTCACCTGATCTGGCAAGGGCCGGCCTTGCCTATGGCCGGCAAGGGTCGCCCAAGCGAGGCCTCACCCGGTCCTCTCCAGGTATCGTAAGTGGCTGGCCATTGTTTGCAACCGAGACCAGCCACCTGAGCAAAGAAAAGAAAAGAAAAAAGAGAAAAAGGAAAAAATAAAGAAGGAAAGAAAAAGCTCATAAAACCAAAGGACGAAAATGCTATTGACCAGCTGGTGAGGTCATGCCTTCTTTGAAATTAACATGATCCGCTTCATGCTCTCATTTAAAATTAGGTGTACTTCATGCCCTTATTTGAATTGAAGGCACTTTGAGCCCTTATTTGGAACAAGGTTCACTAAATGCCTTTATTTGAAAAAACGACGGCACTTCATATTCTTATTTGAAATTTTCCCAAGGACTTTTTATGTTTTCTTTTTTTTTTTTTTTGAAATTTCGACAGCAAAATTGATAGACCCACGAAGCAAACAGGACAATTGCGACATCAAACCCTGATTTTAGAGAACAGGTTTTGCACGATCCCTCCCCAAATCGAATGCAATACCTAATTCCATTCCCTTTTTTCAATCGGAAATCGACTTTGAAAACACCGAGTCGCGGGCATATCAGACCCCCAAACCCCACACGAATCCAGCAGTATCCTCTTTCGTCCATCCTAATCTAAGGTTGAAGAGATTGGAGGATTCAGAGACTTTTGCCTCCGTTTCGCAAATTTTTGGGGTAAGCCCTTCTTGGAATTGAACTAGGATGTGCAGTTTGAGAGATGCGTTTGCGTGTTGCTTTGTTCTAAAGTCTGATTTCCAGAGTGGTTTGGGGGGCTTCATAGTAGGAATCCGGATGAAAAGTGTTTCAAAGTTGCGCCTGAATTGATCATTTTGGTGAAAATGTTCTCGTTCTCGTCGGTAACGGCAAACGGGTATGATGGGTGCAGTAGGTACGGTGGCGCTGTGTGCTTTCTAAGCGTGTAGCGCCCGTGGTGCGTAACGGGCGCCGCCATTACACTCGCATGACGGCTGCTGCGCGAGTTGATTTTGTTTCCATGGGTGCTATCAATTTTTAAGCGTTCATTGCAAGATGACAACTGGGTTCTCCCATTTTAAGGTGTTGATGTAAATTTTAGAGTTCTGTATGGAAACCTCTTATCTGTTTGTCTCTTTATCCTGGTTCATTGTCGTCGCATTAGAGTTTCATCCGCTAATGGGTTTGTGTAATATGCATCCATAGTTACCATAATGACAACTTATATGTATGGCAACCTAAGCGTAATAAATAGGATTGCGATTCTCAAGTTGGGTTATTCATGCTGAATAGGTATCCCTTTTCCTGCAAGCATTCGGGAAGCTTCGTGCTGCAAGTTTTGATTTGGAGAATTCCTCATTCTTACGTCTTGTGTGTTGTAACTGCACAGCGGAAATATAAAGGTGTTTAGTATATTCTTTGGTTTGAGGATTGAAGAACAATGTGCACCAATTTTCTCACAGCCTGTTCTGTTGCGAAATATTAAGTTGGATTGCCCTTCTTCAGCGATTAGTTTGTATGCTTTATTCTGAACCTGTCATACGTGCGGCTCAAACCTGGTGCCAGGAACTTGAGAGATGTGCCCAAAATGTGAAGAAGATTCCCGTAGTGGCTGTTGCGAAGCCGTTCCAGTTGTGGAAAATAGAAGGCATGCTGACGGTTCATGCTCTTCAAGTATATCGAGAGATGCTTTTATGTCAAATCTAAGTACAATTTCTAGAACTTCTTTGCCGGATCATGTATACAAGAGAAGAAAGCTACGACAGGGTTCTGACAGCATTTTCAATGAACGGATGCCGGGGGACATGAAAAGAAGAGGGAATTCTCCTTCTGCCAATTGTTCTATTGGTCCTTCAATCACAGAAAAGGAGCCTTCATTAGGATGCTTGTCCAAACATGAAATTGTTGCTGCTGGAGAACCAGTCCCATCCCTGGCGGTTGATAGCCATCCCCATGTATCAGATTCTGAACCTTTTCGTAAATACAAGGTCCTGGTAGAAAGTGGTCTAGATGAAGCATCAATAGGTAGAATGCACAAAGTAATTGATGTTGACAGTGTAAATGACAGTTGTTCATCAAAATCAAACACAGAACTTACCTCAACTTCCTTGAGAACAGAAGCTGATGAGACTTGTGAATGTTCCTCTTCTAGTGTAACCCTTATGGAAGGAAGAAGTGATGTACCCTTAAGGGAAAATGATATCTGCATCTCCATCCTTAGAAGCCATGGATTGCTCGAAAGAACTTGTTCAACACCAACTCATGCCTCTGAAGATACCGTGTTTGACAGCAGGGACTGTAGCGATGCCCGCTCATGCAAAACTTGTGATCGCAATGGGGAAGCACTGAAAATGCTAATATGTGATAATTGTGATGAAGCATTTCACTTATCTTGCTGCTATCCTCGTATAAAAAAGATTCCACAGAATGACTGGTTTTGTCCCTCTTGCTTGAGAAAGAAGCACATTGTAATCAAGCAGACAGCTACCAAGAAACCAACAAAAACTATTACTGAAACTGCTAGAGGCAAAAGCGCATCTGCTGTGGACGATTCAAATCCAATAGCATTAATGTTAGAAGATGACGAGCCATATATGACAAGTGTTCGTGTTGGCAAAGGTTTCCAAGCTGATGTTCCTGAATGGAGAGGTCCTCAAAAAGAGTAAGTTTCTTTATTGTCATTTAAACCCAGCATTAGAATGAAAGTAGTTACAAGTGCAACAGTGTAAGTTTTAGATTGCAGATATATGATAGAGATTGTTTTTTTTAGAACTTCGTCCTCCTTGGAAGAATTTTAAGTTATAAGCCACAGCCCGCCTTGTTCTCACTTAATCTGTGCCTGGGAGTACCCTAAATGCAGGAAACCTTCTTCACGTTGCCTATGATTAAATTATTTCATTGTTTCCTAGTCTGAGAGCTTGTACTTGTGAGACATGCATGTTCCATCCATATGGGGGCAGTCATCTCCATGATCTGTGTAGCTAGAGTCCAATCTTACGATATTCTCTATAGGTTTTAAAATTACTCAGCAATAGTGAAATTTTCTGTCTGATTTTCATGTTTTGTTGTCATATAACCAATATGGAAAACCAAATAGTTGGTCCTCTTTTTTATCATGGGTTCAAGTATCTTTGCTCATTCTGAAGATCCAATTCGAAGCATGTGAAACAGATTATTTGAATGAAGTGCCTATATGGCATGTTTGATGTTGACTTGATTAGACACTATAGTGCCAGCATCATGCTGAGTCGCCTCTACGGACATTTTGTCTTCACAGTAAGTTTTGGAGTAACTCAAGTTTCAAGAGCCATATAGTGAAAATGCACATTGCATAAAAGCTGACATTTATCAACTGCATCCTTTTCCTGCATCTTAATCAGCTTTTCAACTTCCATAAAGAAGGGTTGTTCATGGTCACATTGGAAAAACTGTTTTTTACCTCCTTGCGGGCTGTTAGAAATTAGAGGCCGTGGTGGCAAATGTGCACTAACGAGAAAATGAATTGAGAAACTATTTCAAAATGAAGTGATTGGATTGGCAATGAATGTTTTTGATTTAGGCTATCGGCCAAATGGCTAATTTATGTCTGGGATCTTTCATTAGTGTTATCTCTCTAATTTGGTATGCAATATTGGATTCTTCTTTTCTTTTTGGTTAATTTACCTGTTTTGCTAGTTGAAATTCATGGCCAATGAAGTATGTTCTTCGGATAGCCATTCTAACTTGATGCGGTAATGGCTGCTCTTGTGGAAATAAATATAGATCCCAGGATTGCTGACTTCATGAGTACTTTTATATCAAAATACTGTTGGAGGGTTCTTGAATAGTCTATGTGCCCAGAGGGTGTACTATATTGTGCATAAATTGACGGAAAAGAGTATAATCTTTAGCGAGCACCAAGAGGGTGCTGTTTCATGCACATGGAGCTTTCGGGATAAAAAGAAACTATGGTACAGTGTGAAGATTAAGTCATGTCAATCAGCACATAGATAAGGAATTATTACCCTCTGTAGTACCATGAATGCGAAATGTGCAAATGATAAGATTAATTACCTTCTCTACCTTGGAATGTTTTTTTAAGAGAGAGAGAGAGAGAAAGAGAGGGAGAGAGATTTGTTACTTGCCTTCGAATCAGCCACAGTTAAGGAACTCATTGGAAAAGTGAATCTTGATCATTGAACTAAGGGTATTTGTTTCTGGTTAAGCTGAAAGTTCTTAGAACAAAGCTTTGGAAGGGGTGTTTTAGTGTTGTTTATCATTCGATAGTGCAAAATCGCCTTCGGGATGATTTTAGAAATCCTTCCACCTTTTTCTAGTATATTTCCAAATCCCTCGTCGAAGGTCTCTTCAACATGGAAATCTAACTAGGCTCTTTTGTAATACTTTGGAATAGACCATCTCCTATGGTCAAGCTTGGTCGAGAAATGCTACGGTAATTTTGCAAGAGGTGCCTTATTAAATAAAGTATGAGGTGTTTGACCAAAAAAATAATAATAAAGTATGAGGTTTTGAGCACTTACAACTAGAACAAGAAGCTTATCCTATTAAGTGGGGTCAGTCATATGAATATTATTGTGCCATTACTTTGACTTGTATTAAATATTTTGTAAGTGGTAAATACTCTAGATCTTTCTTTATTGTCTCCTTCCCTATCCTTCTAGGTCTTCTCTTTTGCTTCTAATTTAAATCTCCATCCCCAGATAATGACTAAATCATCTTAAATGAGCTTTCTCATCTTGTCCTTGGTTGGAGAAACATCTTTTTTCCTCTGATAGGATTCATTTCTAGTCTTAACTTTTTTGTGTCCGCATATGCGATGAAGCATTTTCATCCCAATTATACTTATTTGATGCACATGTTGATGCTTAGCTGCCCGACACTCCATCCATAAAGCATCTTTACCCTCAATTGTTGCCTTATAGGAATTTTAATTAAGCTTAAGTGGCATTGGACAGTCACATAAAACACCAGATGGACTTCTCTACATCATCCATCCTGCTTGTACTCTATTGGTGAGATCTTCATCAATTTTCCCATTTTTTTGAGTGCTTTAAAATATTGTGTTTGACACTCAGATACCTGTTGTCTTTCTCAAGTTCGAGTCAATTGACCTATAGAATTGTGCATTGGATCTTCCACGTCTTTCTGCAACCAAGTATCGAACAGGGTAGATTACAAAGTTTGTAGTTTAACAAAGCACTCTTTAATTACACATTTGACAAGTACAAACTTTTCCTATCCCGATAAAGTTTTTTCAAAATTCTCAAGTATAATTTTCTCAACCTATCGGATATACTCTCTTTTTTAATAGATTAACTTCTATCCTGAGATTGCTTTTAGAACACAAAAGAATGAATCTCAAATTGCTTGTTTGATGGATGTACTATCAAAGATGGCAGTGTCTTCTGCAGACAAAAGTGGGGAGATTGAAAATCTCATGCTACTGCAATCTGCTTTAAACTCTATCAGAAGAGATCAACCTCATTTATGCAATAAGAATTCAAGGAGTGTGTAATGAAAATGAAGAGTGAGGGAGATAATGGATCCCCTTTCTCGAGTCTTTTAGAAGATTTGAAAGAGCCTCTAGCACGCCGATTAATTATAAGTGAAAGGATGCTGTTCAAATATACTGCGATGTCCACTAACATCACTTTTCCAAATTCCATCGTTTTTAATACCTGACCAAGTAGGTCCCCCGCCCCATTGTCATAAGTCCTTTCCTTAATAAATGTTTGCGCTAGTAGGTCAAAGATGGTGATTGCTAATGACATAGACTAACTTGCTCTATGAGAATGCATTTGTCCTTGCAATACAAGCCTTGGCAGCCTTGTTGAGTGCCTCTGAAGCAGGATCAAGGCCAGTTCCTGCAACTGTTGGTAGATTAGACATTGAAAACTATATTATATTCGTTTTTTTTACTGCATCTCTTGCTGTATGATAAGCTTCTGTCTTCTTTCCCCGTATCGGTAGTGTATGTCAAGGTGACCCTCTAACCTTCTTTTTTTAGTGTTAGAAAGTCCAACCCAAAAGCTTAAGCTATTAGGTGGAGGGAGACCACATGAATATAAAAAGGATTTAGAACCCGTTGTCAATTGATGTGGGATAATACTTCAACACCCCCACTCACGTGCAAGCCGGATTACGAGCAGCACGTGAAATTTTGACTACTCACATTCACTTGGAATTTTTACCACGCACATTCGCGAAAGGGATAGCATTGGCTCTGATACCATGTTAGAAAGTCCAACCCAAAAGCTTAAGCTATTAGATGGAGGGAAATCACATGTATATAAAGAGCATTTAGGACCCGTTGTCAATAGATGTGGGATAATACCTTAACATTTAGTTTTTTACGGCAGCTTGAATAGGTTGATTCTCAAATGAGTATAGGGGAGAGATCCATGTGGTTTTAAGACTAATGAAAGCGAGGATGATAGAGTTCATATCTGATGCCTTAACATACATATATAATAGTAGATGTCTGCTGCCTCTTATAAGTGCAACACGTCGAGTACAATTTTTTGGAATGATGAGGTTTATGAGGCTGGAATGAAGGTTGTCATTATGTTGCAAAGATAATGATGAGCCCTTGCAGCAGTAGTGAAGGCTGTGGCAGATAACCAAATAAACTTTACTAAAATGCATTCTCTCATCGCACTTTTGGAAAGCCCCTAAAAAACTTTCAGTCTGGTATTGGATCCATATTGCAAAAGGATGGAGAGATTGATAGAATTTGTCATTTTTAGGATGGGTGAAATGTAAGTGTGTAAAGTGTCTTGTGATGCACCCTAGTTTTAAGGAAAAATTATGTAGGAGGGCGATCACATGAGCTTAGCCACAAGGAGTATGCTATGCCTAGTATAGGAGATTCAACATGGACAAAGTTAGAGACATGTTTAGCAGGGGAGAAGTTGAAGTGGTATAGCAAAGGGTAAAGTGGTTCCACCTTTTTGCCATTAGATCTCATCTAGTGAGAAAATGCAATCTTATGGTCAGGGAGTAGTTTGTAACAGGGAGGAGGTCCAAGAAGATTGGGAAGACCAGGACCTTGAATTTTTCTTTTAAATATGTACGATGAATTGGGATTTCACAGGGAATAGTGGTGGAGGACCAAGTCGCCTTTTCCACCTTGTACATTGTTGCCTCAGGACATTCATGATTCACTGATATTTTCATAGTTATGCCTCCAACATCAATAAGCATGACATGATATTTCCCTTACCTAGCTTAATTTGTGAGGACCCCATCGAATTAAACAATTTCCCATCTCTCCTTTACTAGAATCAAGGCAACTTTTGGTTTCCATGAAAGGTGAGTAAAGGATAAAGTTGAATATAGCCTATGAAGTGACAAGCTGATTTACAGGAAAAAAAGATTTTGTGGGGGAGGTAGTACTTGAGGCTACATAAAGGACGGCACATGGAATACATGATTCTTTTGGGGCTTATTTTTCCCAAACGTGTACGTGAGATTTATCCTATGTTTCGATGTTGTGGTGTATAGTGAGGGATTATTGATGCATATTATCTGTCTTAATGGAAATTATGGAATGACCTTGTGGAGGAATGACTGGGGTCTGACTTGGTAGTGATGCGTAAGCACCTGTCTGGACATAACACGACATGCACATGGGTGCAGATCACTCGATGTGGAATTTGAATATCAGACTCATCTGCTCAAAAGATGTGGACATTAATCCAGTCTTTAGTATCTATTATTTCGTTAAGCCCACCAGATAATCAAGAGGAATCTCATATTTTCTCATAATCTCAATGTCGATGATACTATTAAAATAACTGACATAAATTATGATCGAATAAAGCCTTAAAACACCACAGTACAACATAGAAACTTGTCAAATTCGTTAGGGTAAAAAAAAGAAACTTTTTATGGTATTGACATGACCTGTGGTTTAATTGCTCCTGGCGGATAGGTTCATGTTCAATTGCTTCTTCTGTTTTTTGTCTGCCTGACTGGCTTGTATGGGCCAGTTGATATTTTTCAACCTGTACCGTGCACCTTCACCCCGGTCTATGACTGGGTAACATGATTGTAATATGGCAACCTTAGTTTGAAAAGGCAGGTTGTGTAAAAAGATAATACACTGAAGCTACTACCAGTGCTTGACTGACTTTCAGTCTAACTTGCAGTAGATGTGTATTTGTCATCTCCAGTTGATGTCCTTGGTTAAGATAATTTGCTGTTTGATGCTGATGGCAATATTGGTGAAGATAATACTGTTTTTGTCACCCTGTCAGTATTTTAAGTTAAGTGGCATGTGTTCTAGACTTTTGTATGCGATGCTATAGAGGATTCTCTCTATTTGTCTTCAGTTTGCTTTTAAGTTTATATAGCTGCTAAAAGCATGGATTTTTGGATATTATGCAGTGACATCAGCATGGTTGAGGAACCACCAGTAATAGATCCTTCAGAGTATGCCCATCAGCAAGTAAGGCCCCACTTTTCTTTATTCTTGTTGCATGGGGCTCTGTTGGCAATATCAGTTGATAAGTTCTTTTTTTCTTCATGAAGGATTTGAAATTAAGCAAGCCTTTTAGGCTTAGCTCCATTGGCAATTGGCTTCAATGTCGGAAGAGAGTCGATGATGCAGAAGGTGTTAATGGAAATATATGTGGAAAGTGGCGCAGGTGAGCCTCGTCTTTCTTCAAGATTATGATGCCATTCTTCTACAATTCATTTCATACGGGTTCTTATATTTCACCTCAAACGCCCCACCTCTTCTTCCTCTGTGTGTGCGTGTGGATATATTCTTTGTATTTCCATTGTTCGATTTGGAGTTTGTTATGGCTTATAATCTTATGATACCAATACCTTTACAAGAACTGTGAAGAGCATGTGATCACCTACGAGACAAAGTCCTTAAGAATACAAATAGATTTCTTCCCCACAAGGAATGTAACGACAAGCTTGTGAAGACTGCAAAATCATTCCAGTGATGGTGCTTGATGTTCATCTTAGAAGAGGAGAGAGATATAAAGTTGGGTGGCAGAGAGTTTGAAAAGTGTCCATATCCTAAGATTGGGCCAAGGAACCTTGATGAGGCTCATTGGGCTCAGAGTCTGGCGTAGGCATCGGTAGGCCAAGCTAGTGTGTCAATAATAATAATCAGTTATAGGGTCTCTAATTTGTTACAATTAATCATCTATTATAATGGTATTTAGCTGTTGAGTCTAAAGTTATTTTCATACTGAGGACTGAATACAATCAGATTCCTCTCCTACAACCCTCTCTCTCTCTCTCTCTCTCTCTCTCTCTCTCTCTCTCTCTCTCTCTCTCATTTGAATTTCCTCTTCTCCTTCTATTCTTTATCTCTACCCTTCTCTTCTGCTTAATCTGTATCGCAAATTCATCTCTCTCTCTTGTCGCATTCGGATCATTACAAATTGGTATCGGAGTTATTCTGAACCTGTGATGACCATAGGAAGCCGCTGACCAGTTTAGATACTTAGAGAATCTATTTGAAAACGTGGGTCAGCAGTTTATGTCTTTCATGGACGAAACAGAGCAGAGGCTTGAGAAGTTCCATTACAACACCATGGTGAAGCTTGACCTAATATTGGAGTTGTCAAGGGCTTGAAATGGTATCAACCAAGAGGAGAATTATCTAATTGAACCCAAGCCTTCAATGGAAGAAGGAAAAGGATTGGTACCTGAATTGAGGCTGGTTCTCAACTGCGAAAGCTCAATGGCTATCAATTTAACTGCACCCGAAGGAGCAGCTGCAGTGAAGTGTGATTTCCCAATTTTCAAGGCAAATAATTCCGTGGATGGGGTAAAAGTGAGCGAAGAGCATCTAAATGCATGTTAGATGTACGACAAAATGAAAAGAAAAATTCCATTGAGACAGTCGATAGAGGAGGCCCTCAAATGGAAAGTGTTCATGGGCACTTGGAGGGATTTGTCAAACTGGAGTTGCCAGATGCCATCGAGGCATTCCATGCTTCAATAGATATGTGGATTAAAAAGCAACATCCAAGGCAGCTTCATGATTGTAATGCCTTATGATTACTCAAGTTTTACAAATCCGTTTCTATCATTCTTGTGGGAGTAAACCATTCAGTAGCTTTTTCTAACTATCAAGGAACTCTTCTTGATTGTGCATGGGTTGTGATGGAAAAATGGTTTTCTGGCAAAAGGCTGAAAAGCGGATGTGAGCTTGAGGTGCACCCGCGAAAGTCTTCGACTGGTACGTGCATAAAATGCGGTGGGTTTGGAAATTGACCTAAATAGTTTGAATTCCTGAAAGTGGCCCACAATCTGGGAATGCTACGTTAATTGGGTTTAAATTAGTGGGAAAATATCAGGAGAGTCATGTTAGGGAAAGGGGAATGTGGATATTTGATCCAGGTGGTAATAATCTAGACAATTTGATCTGTGAGTCTCGTGCATAAGTTGGAAAATGCCTATGAGCCATTTGATTTGAGGCCTGAGATCAGGGCATAAGAGTGCACTTGAGTGACCTAGTGGAGAAAGAGAATGATAGGCTCGTGGATGAGTTCTTTGCTTAGACTAAAGCTCACTCAATGACCACGAATTATGTTTGGAAATGGCTACAAACAACTCCCTAGTCTAACGATTGATGAATACACAAAGCCAACTCATCTTAATGAACATGTCTCGCACAAGGATGTTGAATACACAAAATGTGGCTGTCAGATTTGCGTACTAGCTGGTGTATACAAAGTATGCGTGTCCATGTTTCTAGAGGATTCTTCTGTCATATATAAAAACCAGAATTTGTCAATATGGCTGATTTTTGGAAGTTATTTGGAAATATGATGGAGCAATATGTGTTTGTCCATTGTGAGTGTGAGCCATAGAAAGAAGGATTGAAGGGTCTTGGATGGTATAAGGAATACTTGAAAGGAGTTACGCAAAGTGTTTTCAAGACAAGGAAGCTCGGGTGGCGCTATATCACCTTTTGCTCTTCCTTGGAGACATGGAAGATTTTGTCGTGGGGGTATTGGCTTGATCCTAAGAGTGGGCCAAGGAACTTGACAAGGTTCGTTGGGCTTAGACTCGGGCTTAGGCATTCATGGACCAAGCTAGTGTGTCAATAACAAGTATCAGTAGAAGGAAAACTAGTTTGTTAGAATTAATCATCTATCATCATGGTATCTAGCTTTATTACTTGTTTAGTTGTTGAGTCCAATTCTGAGGGAGATCTTTATATTTTAATAAATAGATTACATAATTAATTAATAAATATATTTATATATATGTTCAGTGTCTACATGTGATTTCATAGTGAGAAATGAGTTAGAATCAAATTCCACTCTTTATAACTCTCTCTCGAATTCCTCTTCTCCTTCTCTGCTCCTCTCTACCCTTCTCTTCGGCTTAATCTGATATCGCAAATTCATCTCTCATCTTGTCACATTCAGATCATTAAAAAAAGTTATAATTTCTAATGAAGGGTTCAGATCCAGTTAACTCTTGTAACCTTGTATAACTACAGCATATTGTTTTAAATAATGATTTTTATCTCTATACTTCTAAAATATCAATTTTCTATTGAAGCCTATAGTTTACTCAGTTTTAGTGTTTTTTTGTCTTGGTTTCTTTCAAATAACAATTGTTGTGCTTCTGATACCATTTGACAAAGATGGAGATATACAAGATAGCATAAGATGTTGGCCCAATAAGAAGCCAAAATGAACCCAAAAAAAGGATGAAAAAATTGTGTAAAGCTGGATGAAATAGAAAATTGGTATCATGGTTTCAACAACCTAGAATGAGATCGCATTACGAACTGTTCTACAGAAAATTTATACTAGGGTTACTGATCTGATCTCATCCCTTGATTGGACATTAAGCTCTTTCAGAATAAGCATTGACTTCATTTGGAGTGGCATGCCTCGTGTTACCACTTATTAAAACTAATATTATTACGTAGACTGCCTAAATATTAGAAAATCCATAACTATGTCAAGGGAAAATTAGCCTCCTGCATCAATTTATCTGCCACTAGCCGTGGTTTTGGAACTGGGCCCAATGTCGTTAGTAGTGACTTCCTTGATGTCTGGTGACTGCACTCATTTATAGTGATATCTAGCATGTACTTAAAATCTTACAAAATGACAAGTTTCACAATAATCACTTAACCAGTGTCTACTTACTGCATGATTTATTTGAGAATGTTTTTTATTTTGATTGGCTCGACAAAGTCAAATATAATTTGACAGATGAGTTAATTATATTGTAGAGCACCTCTTTTTGAAGTCCAAACTGATAAGTGGGAGTGCTTCTGTTCTGTTTTCTGGGATCCAAGCCATTCTGATTGTGCTGTCCGTCAGGTAACATTAGTCATCTTTAATTCTTTTTTTTCATACTAGTATTATTTCTGTCCTTAAATTTGCTGTCTAGAATGAGATATCTTTGTCAATGCTTTAGTTGGAACACATTATGCTGTGATGCCTGGCCTATCTGCACGAGATGTGTGTTCTTCATTGGCTATCTGCAACAGGCTGGTTTGGGTTCCAGGGGCATTTGCTTAGTTCAAAACTCAGTATAAGCAAAAGATAAATTAATAAGTAAGTAAGTGTTTACTTACTGTCCAATCTTTAACTTTAGGAGAAATCAGCTTTCAGAATATTCTGCAAGAAAACTATGGGGATGAACACGCCGAAACTATTAGGAGAATAGTCCAAGACGAAGCAAGACCTACCAAAAGAAAAAATCTGCTAAGATAAACTGAAAATAAATAAAAGGAGAAAGCCAAGGTTTTGAATCATGCACGAGTTTTAACTGTTGTAAGTATTGGTTCCAAAAATGTTCGAACTTGCATCAAAAGATTTTGAATCATTTGAGATTTCAGGCTTCAATTCGGTTGAAAGCTAAACTCCAGAGTCTAAGTTGTTTCTCTTTTTCCCTAATAATAGAATATGCTCATTTTTCTTGATGTGGATACATGTTTAATCTCAAGGTCAGTTAAGCAGTTGTTGTCCTTTTGAGTCTTTGACCAATTTATCAGCTTTTGTATGCAGTCATTTAATGTAGGACAAGTATTACATGCAACGCTTTCACGCCACATTTATGAAGCCCTCAAGCATTCACTGAGTGATTATTCAAGAGGAAACTTAGAATGCTTCAAGAAGAGGCATAAGTTCCAAATTTTATGTTAGAGCATAAGTTCCAAATTTTATGTTAGAACATAAGTTTGGTTGGCTAACGGATGGAAGGATGGATGAACAACTATACCTCAAGCATAACCCAGAATACTTCTCCAGGGTTTTTATGGTTACTGAGACCTGTTCTGTAAGCCTTCATACTTGAACGGGAATAATCGTAGAATATTTTAACGAAGTCCTAGGGTTGGATATGCAATTTACACACCAACAAGATCTATATCTGAATCATTATCCATATAGATGCTACAGTAAAGCCCTGGAGATCCCCTAATCAAAAGAAATCATTGAATCCATTAGCCAGGGGAAAGCTTTTTCTTTTACTTACCATCCTATGCTCCTCTTTAGGTTGTCACTATTGGAAATTTGTTAACCATTATTTAAAGAACTAATTGTGAGCTTTGTAGATCAGTCCCTCATACACGGTTCCTTTTCTCATGCTTTTGCTTCAGGAGCTGGAGACAGATCAAGTTCTGAAGCAACTAAAGTATATTGAGATGGTATTATCGGTTTCTGTCTCTTTGGTATTGTTTTCACATATACATTTGTTATGTGATGTGAAATAATACTAATGCAACCATTTTGGCTGTGCAAACAATAAAAGTAACTAAAACCTTTAAATTGGTATTGTAGGCTTCAATAATTTGTTTTTTTTTTTCTTTATGTCTTGGCGTGTGTGTATTGGGGTTGGGGGGAGTCGGGTGCTGTAAAATGAGAAACATATGCGTTTTTTTTTTTTTTTTCTAAACATCCACAAGCAGACTACAAGTATAGGTGATAAGAGGACAGTGTACTTTTGGTTGGTCCATAATTCAGAAAGAAGCAACAGCCAGTTGATAAATGAGAAAAAAATTGCGACTGATTTTATGCTTAAACTGGAAGAGAGATGTTGAATAGTGTTATACGGAACATTGTACACAGAAAACGCATTCATTGTCTATTTTTGTCTTCTATATGTAGCTGAGGCCGCGACTTGCAGCTAGCAGACAAAAGTTTGTCCTATCCAAGAGTGAAGTCTCTCAGGAACCCTCAGAGAATGCGACCAACATATAAGCCCTCGAAGAATGTCAATGTACGTGCTTGATGATTCTGTGAGGTGTCTGTAATGCCAGCCTCAGCTCATAAATTTCTTTATGCAGAAATAGCTGATTCCAATTTTGAGTTTCATGTTTTTGGTCCCTTCTCCCTATTCTCATTCAGCTATTGGTTTTTAACATTTTTGTTAGCTGTAGAAAGACCATACAATCAGTCTACTATTAGTGAAATAGGTCCTTAGTTGATCATTTTTATCTAGAAATTTCTGTATAAACCATAGTGACCTGTAGCCTTTTGCCCATTGGGGGAGGTAAGAATGTATCGTGTAGATTACAGTGTGCGAATAGTAAACCTTAGCAAAATGGTTCTAGTTCTAGTCACCGACTGATTTCCTTAATCCCGGTGTATTCTTCAACTTGATTTAGCACCGATGCACCATCAAGACTGAATATTCGGAAGAACTTAGAAGATGCTGATTCTGAATTTAATGGTATTTCCCTGAATAGTCAGGACAAGAGCATGAGCAGGGGATCGTTATTTGCTGTGAATTTTTGTCAACTCTGAGAACATAAAAGATATTAGCTAAGCTTTCGTTATTCCTATTTTGGATGGATTTGCGACTAGTTCCAATAGTAGGTGCAGACATTTTCTATACAGTCTTTAGTACGAGGATTAAATGGGAGACACCAAACCATTAGCCTGGCCTTGTCTCATGTATAGCATTCAGGTCAAACAATTCTTTGGAAGAACTACGTATGTCATCTAACATGATGCTACACGAATGAAAATATCCCATTTCTTTTGTGGGCTGTTTAGTTTATGTAAAGCCTGTGAGGAATGATCTTTCTATTCGGGGATATTTCCGTTGGGAAGCACTTTAAACAAGAAAAATCTTTTTTCGGTACTTGGCACATTTGCATCTCGACTTTTTCCCTTCTTCATTCAGGATAGAAAGTACTTTTGAGTGTACCGGAAAAGTAGAGTATTTTGAGAGCACTGGTCGTTATCCGTCAGTGGTGGTGGTTGCTGGTGGTGGTGCCAACTGTGCTTGGTAGTTCAATGGCAGTAGCATCATGGTGGGGAATCCACCAGCCTCTTGAGGTTGGTGACGATGGTGGTGGTTGCCGTTGTGGGAATGGTCAATCCAAGGTGGTGTTGGTGTCATTCTGCTGGATTTGCACGGGCGCTTTGTTGGCCGGCGGCAGCTTCTGTTTATGGGTGGTGACTGGAGTGTGAATTATCTACTTGTAATGTTGTAAGCTACAAATACCAGAGAACGAAGCAAGAGTTTTCTGAAATTTATGTACGTATTTTCCATTGAGAACGCTTATGTATTGATAAGTTTTCCTGGATTCTGCCTGGCATCAGAGAGAAATTATTAGGGAAAATCGACGTGGACAATGTCTCTGAGGAATGAGAAAGTGATGGGTTCGCTTAACTTTGGAGCAGATAGCTTCATAAATAACAAAGGTGGCAAGAACGTGTGAAGTTAGATAAATCCATTTTACATAAAACACCAGACCCATAGATCATATACTGATTAATGCTTAATCGATCGAAGAATACTTGAACACGGCTTTCCTGTTTAGAAATGAAATGTTTCAAACATTCCTAGAAATTCTTGTTTCCGTTGGATTGTTTTTATATATATGTGCTTTAGAATCCCAGTCTACAAATCTTATGGTTCGAGAAATAAAAGTAAAAGGACTGAACTTGTTTCTTCTAACTCTATCGAATTCGATGAATGTTGATTGATCGTATACTTTATTATAATTCTGTGATTGAACTATAATATTTTGGACCCATTTTCATTTGACCTTTAAATGTTTAACAATCCATATATAAACATAGGCTTAAAAATGTTGAGTCAAAAATTGAGCCCACGGCCCATTTCAATGCCTCCAATAGATGGCGGTTGAAAAGTGTTTTGTGCTGGCTTCTAATCATGGGAGAGAAATGTTCAGTTTCACTAGTAAGCTGTCTAAACTTGGAGCAAAATGTCAAGCCCTCATCGAACGAACAAATAAGATAATTTTTCTTTTATAATTTAGGCTCCATTCATTTCACGGAAAATATTTCCCAGGATTTCCGGTGTTCGGGGGGCGAAAAATAAACTAACCGCGGAAAACATTTTCTCTCATGGACAAAATACCATTTTCCACTTTTTGAAAAGAGGATAACATTTCCCCCCTCCTTCTTTCATCATTCATTATAATTGTTTATATATATTTTTAAAATTCTATTTTTTATTTTTTAATTATCTTTTTATTTTTATTTTTATTTTTTTCTTTCTTTTTTCTTCTTCTTTCTCTTTTCTATCTTCTTCTCCAGCCGCAGGCGAGCTTGAGCCTCACCACAGGCCGGCGAGGCCGAGCTCTCCGAATCTAGCGAGGCCCGAGCTCGCCCAATATCAGGTGAGGCGAAGCCTCGCCACAGGCCGACGAGGCTCAACCTCGCTTGAATCTGGCGAGCTCGAGCCTCACTGGCGACCAGCCGGAGAAGAAGAAGAAGGAAAAAGAAGAAAAACAAAAATTAAAAAATAAATTAAAAAATTTATAAAAGTATTGCAAGAACGAAAATATTTTCCATACCAAATAACGGAAAATATTTTTCAAATTTTTTTTATATTTCAGCCGAACACTCGGAAAATTATGCTATTTTTCTAGAAAACATTTTCCAAAAAAGTAATATTTTCCGCAAAACAAACGGAGTCTTAGAGGCACAAGCGCAGTGGTCCTGTTTGGATACCGATGAAACACCTTACAAGTCCAACAAGCTACAGGGGGGAGTTCAAAGTGGTGTCGTAGGGACCGACATATTGTGTAATAAGAGCAATTTTCTCTTTTGGAAAAAAGAAAAAATAAAAGGACAATTTCACTGAAGAGGTAGTAGTGTAGGATAACAGATGCCAGTGTCGTTGAATGTTAAGAAAAGGGCTTTGAGCAAGGGATGCAGCGGGTGGACTCAAATAGCATTTTCGATGCATCTACACCACATAACCAGTCTAATTAAATTTTAGATTTGAATAATGGGCTTGGATCCCGTTTAAATTACTTTATAGTGTTTGATGACTTGTTAGTAGAGGTGGCCACGGGCCGGTTTTGGCCCGGAACCGGACCGGAACCGGCCCGGTCAAACCCGGGCCCGGCCCGTTGACCGGGCCCGCGGTTCGGAACCGGAACCGGCCCGTGGCATACGGTCCCGGTTCCGGTTCCTGAAAAACTTGAACAGGCCCGGAACCGCCGGTTCCGGGCCGGTTCTGCAAAAAAAAAAAAAAAAAAAAAAAAAAAGCCTGCCGGTGCAGGCCACGCTGCAGCAGCCTGCACCCGCAGGAGAACGGGCCAACGGACGGCCCAACAACAACAAAAAAAAAAAAAAAAAAGATTTATTTGCAGCAGGGCCTGCAGACGTGCAGGCCCTGCTGCGCCGCAGGCTTGCAGCCCATTGGGGCAACGGCTACGCCCCAACGGGCATTTTGATAATAAAAAAAAAAAAACACATAACCGTTGCAATTTTGCAACGGTTATGTTTTATTTTTTTTAATTCTAAATTTTCTTCTATTTTTTTCCTATAAATTCTCTCAAATTCTCTGAAATTCTCTCAATTTTCTCAATCCACGCAATTCTTTCTTAATTCTCCCAATTAATCCGCTCAATTCTCTCAATCCATTCGAAAAATGGCAAGTGGAAGTCGAGTGCCAACTGGCAAAGGTAAGAATATCGCGACGGAATCCCATCATTCTTTTGATCCTCGTGAATATGCAGATTTTCAAGATGATGAAATCAACATTTTTCACGATGTGGAGCGCGTCCCGACGCAAGAAAGTTTTCATCCTCCTGCTGAAATATCTACAACAAAGGAAGCGGAACGGGAATTTACATCCGACATTTGGAATCACTTCACGAAAATGGAAAGGTTTGATATCGGTCAAAAAAGGTATGATATAATTTGTAAATATTGTGGAAAAATATATAAATATACAGGTGGACAAGGATATGGAACATTTAAACGACATCTTATGAGCAAACATCCAACTGAAACGGGAATCGATATCGGGCAACAACAAATTTCTGGGTACGTCAATCCTAACACTTCCCCTTTATTTCGTTTTAATGAAAAAACTTATAAGGAAGAATTAGGCAAATTTATTTCCGTTGAGCATTTAGCATTTAATTTTGGAGAAAGATTTGGTTTTAATGAATTTGTACAAAAAGCATGTGCTCCACAAGCAAAACGTGTTTCTAGAAATACAACTAAACGAGTAATTAAAGATCTTTACAAAAATGGAAAAAATGATTTACAAAACTTTTTTATGCAATTTAATGGATGCGTGCATATAGGTAGTGATATTTGGAGTGATCATTGGCAAAATCATTCTTACATGGGCATAACATGTCATTGGATAGATGACGAGTGGACTATTTAAAAAAGAGTTATTGCATTTAGAGTTTTCGATGATCATCATACGGCAAATAATATTTATAGACTAATTAGGCAAGTTTTAGAAGAATATTATTTGCTTAACAAAATTTTTTCAATTGGTTTTGATAATGCCGCAGCAAATACCGCTTCAATTGCCGAGTTAGAAAATATTTGTAAACCCGCTTTTGGTGGAAAATTTTTTCACATTAGATGTGCTTGTCATGTTTTAAATTTATGTGTACAAGATGGTTTGAAAACTCTTGATATTTTTCTTCAACCAATAAAAACGGCGATTCAATTTTTATGGAAACATCCCAAAAAAATGAAAGAATGGGGTAGATTTTGTAGAGATAATGGCAAAAAGCCAAAAAGATTTCCAAGAGATGTTCCAACTCGTTGGAATTCTACTTTCCACTTGCTTAGTGAATCTTTAGCATATAAAGATTTATTATGTGCATTCATTTCTAATAATATACCTGAGATTAATTTATACCCACAAGAGTGGCATATTTGCCAAAAAATTTTAGATCTTTTAAAGGTTTTTAATGATGCAACTTATACTTTGTCTGGTGTTTATTATCCTACTACACATTTATTTTTAGTAGAGTGTACTAATATTGTCGGAACTTTTGATGAATATGAAAATGATGTTGAATTACAACCTACTGTAGTTGCAATGAAAATGAAATGGCTTCATTATTATAGTGAAATTCCCATGATTTATTTAGTTGCTTGTGTTTTTGATCCGCGTTGCAAATTGGATGGCTTAAATGATTTTTTGCGTGCGTATTATCAATGTTTATATTATGATGTGACAAATGTTACAACCATAGTACGTGAGGTTAAAAACGTAGTAATAGAATTATATAATGAATTTTATACTAAATATAATTTAGGTGATATTAGATCTTCTCAATCTACGGAGATACAAAATGACAAGACAGTAAAATTAGT